CAACTCTCACATCCATGTATGACTACTGGAAAAACCATAGCCTTGACTATACGGACCTTTGTTGACAAAGTAATGTCTCTGCTTTTTAATATGCTGTCTAGGTTGGTCATAACTTTGCTTCCAAGGAGTAAGCGTCTTTTAATTTCATGGCTGCAGTCACCATCTGCAGTGATTTTGGAGCCCAGAAAAATAAAGTCAACCACTGTTTCCCCATCTATTTGCCATGAAGTGATGGGACCGGATGCCATGATCTTAGTTTTCTGAATGTTGAGCTTTAAGCCAACTTTTTCACTCTCCTCTTTCACTTTCATCAAGAGGCTCTTTAGTTCTTCTTCACGTTCTGCCATAAGGGTGGTGTCATCTGCATATCTGAGGTTATTGATATTTCTTCCTGATAGCTGAGGATATTGATATTTATGTCTTAGGTGGTCCTCGAAATCTGTTCTCAGTGTCAGATCTGATTACTGTTGAGATTTGGTTCTGTTGTTTGTATTAGTTACAAGACCTGTGCTATAGCTGCTCAGAAAGAAAAGAAAATCAGGCCACAGCTGACTTAACAAATAAGGACTTCCTTTTGGGATAGGAGTCCAGGCCTGTTCTGTGGCTCCGTCATGCCGTCCATGACCCTCTCCTCCTTCTGCCTAGCCTTCCTCAGAATGTGCTGTCACCGTAGGGTCACAGGACAGCTCTGCCCTTTGCCACCCCCACATCAGAACGTGTGCTCAAATGAGCCAGCCCTCTTGCTCACAACTCTCCTGCAAGCCTACCAAGTGATTTCTGCTTATTCCCACTGATTGGCCAGAGCACTGCCCCATGACTGTTCTTAGCTGTCCTGGAGTTTGGGAAATACAAGCTTTTAACTAGGCTTGTTGTAAGTCAAAAAACTACATTCAGAAACCTCTAGTAAGAAAGCGTCTATTGGAGCAAGCAGCTAGTATATACTTCAGCAGCTGTTTTCTAAAGTGCTGGAAAGTGAAAGTGAAAGTCGCTCAGTCATGTCTGACTCTTTGTGACCCCATAGACTGTGTAGTCCATGGAATTCTCCAGACCAGAATACTGGAGTGGGTAGCCTTTCCCTTCTCTAGGGGATCTTCCCAACCCAGGGATCGAACCCAGATCTCCCCCCTTCCAGGTGGATTCTTTACCACCTGAGCCCCAAGGGAAGGGGTTCTTCCGAAATGCACTGAAATTAAAGGTAAAGGAGAGCAAATAATAATGATAGCTTTGGAAGTGTGAGAGGTTGGACTCTAGAATTCTTTTTTAAAATACTAATCAAGAAAATGTGTTTGTTATAAATGATTTCTTAACCCCAAGCATTTGACTGTTTTATGGTGTTCTGTATATTATGGTATTCTGTACATGTACATTTGCAGTCCATGGCGTCGCCAAGAGTCGGACACGACTAAGTGACTGAACTGGTGTTTTAAGATCACTTCCATACCCCAATACTTGGGACCTCGCCTTCTTCTTTTGTCATATCAGCAGTTTCATTACAGTATCACAAAAAAAGTTTTTTCATGAAAAAAATTGGAAACAGCAATGAACAGATATACTTAACTGTGAAAAATAGTTGTATACACATAACAGAAGTATTGAAGAAGGGCTGGTAGAATGCCCTTTTAAAATTTATTGTATTTTTTAGTTGTATGAGGTTTTTTTTTTTAACATATGCTGAATATTAATCTCATATCAGATGTATGATTTGCAGCTATTTTCTCCCAGTCTGTGGGTTGCAACAACTTTTTGATGTGATTTTAAAACTACATATTAGCATTAAGACTGATATTATACTAGTATTTATTAGTATCTTAGCTAGTTTATTTTAAAGTATCAGTAATATATAAACTGAAGAATATATGAACATATGGTTGAAAATTTAAATGGCTCAAAAGGTCTCCAATTAAAAAAATGGTTAAAAGGATGGAGGGTTACCATAGAAGAGAGAGAAGCAGGATAGAGAAAAGCTGTATATGATGAGCTTTATTTCTTTCCCAAAAAAAAGACTAGAAACAAATATGGCAAAAAGTGGTAACAAATGTTTAATCTCACTGGTGGGAACATGGAGTGTCCTGTTATCTATATTTTTTCTGAAGGTGGCTTAGACGATAGAGTCTGCCTGCAATGCAGGAGATCTGGGTTTGATCCCTGGGTTGGGAAGATCCCCTGGAGAAGGGAACGGCTACCCACTCCAGTATTCTTGCCTGGAGAATCCCATGGACAGAGGCGCCTGGAGGGCTACAGTCCATGGGGTTTTAACGAGTCAGACACAACTGAGCGACTAAGCACAGCACTCCTTACCTGCCGGTTGTTGTTAGAATTTCATATTTTTGTCAACTGTTTTTCTGCATTTGATGCAGAAGAGCTCTTAACAGAAACATGTATGTTTGGAATTGTTTTAATGTTTTCCTTTTGTATCAGTTACTAACATGGAATATAAATTTACTTGTACCCTGTAGTGTTTCAACTCTTCATGTGGTGTTTGAGATTATGCAAATATAAGCCTAGACCTGAATATATTTAATTTTACATATAAAACTTATTTGACATTTTAAAACTTTTTTAATTGGTGGAAATGAAGCTTTTTTCTCTTTTCACCCAGTCACAGGAATTTGTTACAATATGCTTTTATGGAAAAGTGTTTGAAACTGAAAGGTAATAGTCTGTATGGGATTGGTAGAGCTTTGATACTAAAACTGAATAAGTTGTATGGGACAAGAAAATTAGAGGTCAATTCAACTTAAAAATGTAGATGCATTCATCTTAAAATAATGGTGGTATGATCCAGACAGTAGAATATCATTCTACAGTAGAAAGAAATGAGCTATGAAAAGACATGGAGAAACCTTAAATGCATCTCCATGCATATCTAAATGAAAATCTATTATTGTAAGTCTGCACACTACCAGATTAAAGGAGAAAACTTATGATTATCTCCATGAATGCAGGAAAAACATTGAGTAAAATTCAGCACCCAATCATGGTGAAAGAAACATTCAGTAAACTAGAGACTGAGGGGAACCTTCTTAACCTGAAAAAGGATATTGACCAGAAATCTCAACCAAATATTACACTTCGTGGTTAAACCTTAGAAATAGTTCTTCCAAAATCAGGGAAAAAATAATTTCTATTTGACATTGAATAGAAGGTTCTAGCCAATGCAATTAAATAAGAAGAACATGGAAGCAACCTAGATGTCTATCGACAGATGAATGGATAAAGAAGTTGTGGTGCATATACACAATGGAATATTACTCAGCCATAAAAAGGAACACATTTGAGTCAGTTCTAATGAGGTGGATGAACCTAAAATCTATTATGCAGAGTGAAGTTAGAAAGAGAAAAATAAATATCATATTCTAATGCATATTTACAGAATCTAGAAAAATGATCCTGAAGAATTTATTTACAGGGCATCAGTGGAGAAACAGACATAGAGAATAGACTTATGGACATGGGGAGAGGGGAGGAGAAGGTTGAAATGTATGGAAAAAGTAACATGGAAACTTACATTACCATATGTAAAACAGATAGCCAAGGGGGCTTTTGCTATGTGGCTCAGGAAACTCAAACAGGGGCTCTGTATCAACCTAGAGGGGTGAGATGGGGAGGGAGATGGGAGGGAGGTTCAAAAGAGAGGGGATATATCTATACCTATGGCTGATTCATGTTGAGGTTTGACAGAAAAGAAAATTCTGTAAAGCAATTATCCTTCAATTTAAAAATTTTTTTAAAAAGGAAATGAGGTATGAATGAGAAATGTTAAGTGTTAAGGAGAAGATAAGAGTTATTACTGTTTCCTGGTATTGAGAAATTCAGAACAAGCTACCAAATGTTAGAGAACTCAGCAAGATTGCTGGGTGTGAGAGTAGTGTTACAAAATCAGTGGCAACGATTGTAGTGTGTGTGTTTCTGTTTTTGTGTGTGTGGCAGATTGCGTTGTCCAAAAGGGCTGCACCAGCATAGGATGCACCCCCTCTCCTGTTACACGAAGAGGCTGTGATTCCTTTCACTGAGATTTCGTCTCTGTTCCCAACTCTTGTTGGAACGCCCAGTGGGTAAAAAGGATGAACTAGAAAGTTACTTGTCCTGGGGCTATTGGGTGGGGGCAGGCAGGCACATGGGAAAATCTTGAATAAACTTATTTATGCTTAATTTACAAAACTGCTTAGTGCCTCATTTTTATTTTTTATTTATTTATTTATTTTTTTAGTGCCTAATTTTTAAAATACTGTTTCTCCACACATGGTAATGTGAGCAAAAGCCCAAATTGTTCTTTGCTGTTAATGTGTACCCCTTTTCTGGAAGGAGATATGCTTCTGTTTTTACCTGACTTCTTAGGGTAATGTTCCATTTGGGAAAAAAAGCTGGTCATGATGGACATGTCATGTAGCTGAGTGCCTCGTGCAGGCATCCTGGCTCAGAATCTTGTCGTGGAGTACCGAGAACCAGAAGGGTCCTGAAATAAGCATTTGTGGCTCTAGAATAAGATTTGAGAATATTTCTGGAGCTCAAAATAAAGTAACAGTTATATGGCTTGAAGATAACAAAATAGATTATAATTTTAAGATCGACACTCTGGAATATAGGCAGATATTATTCGGAGAGTTTAGTTTGGAATTGGAGTGTGGTGTGGTGATCTGAGATTCCTCCTTTGCAGTGTAGGTACCTGAACTGTTTAATGTGGCTGTGGGTGTGAGCACAGCAGAGCAATGCAGTGCACGTGTGTGAGAGTGGAGCCTTCTGCTTGAAGGTCTGTGTCCAACCCTCGGGTCCCAGGCTGTCAGTTCTGTGGACCTGGTAGATCATTCAACCCCTAGCCTGTCACCCTCATACACACAGTGGGGGGAGACACAATGTTTCTGTGGTGTGGTGAGACTTGAAAGAGGTGCTTGACATGTCCTAAGTGCTCAGTGAAAGTTATTTTATACAGGCTGGGAAACTATGTGTTCTGCTATATAAAGTTTAAGAGAAATGTTAAAATATATTTTTGTTATTTTAAGGAAATTCGCAGTGAGTCCCATGACTATCCTCATAGAGTGGCCAAGTTCCCTGAAAACAGAAATCGAAACAGATACAGAGATGTGAGCCCATGTAAGTACTCGTAGGGGGGTGACGTGTGTGTGTGTGTGTGTATGTATGTTTGTGTGTGTGCTGGTTTGTTGTAGGACACAGGACATGCCGGAAAATGTTGGGGTCAGGGTTGATGAGCATGATGGGTTTTTTTTTTTTGTATCGACATATATATGTACTCTTTAAAGAAAACTTTTGAGACATGAAATTGTGGAAGGAGGGGAAATTGCCTGTAATTACCTCCTCCTCCAACACAGCCACCATTTACTCTTTGTATTTGCTACCGACCTTTTTTCTGCCACTTGATTTTTGTTTTTTCCAAAATAATCATAGTCATATATGTGTGTATGTGTACTCATATATGTCTATATACTTTCCATATTATTCCATAGCTTTTATAAGTATTACTTTAAATATTTATTCGTATAGCTTGCTTTTTCTCCCTAAAATGAAAAAATAGTGTGTGTATACTATAGAAAAGTTTTAAAACATAAAAATGTATAAAGGAAAAATTCTCATGACTTAAAAACAAAAACTTTAGGGTTTATATTCTTTTGGTATTTGTCTGTGTAAATGTGTGTCCTTTTAAATTCATCTGGATCTGCAGGTACAGATCAAGCTCTCCTCCCGCGAAGCCGCTCGCTGTGGTGGTTTCCTGTCCTGAGCACAGTCTGTCAGTGGTTGGATTTCAATTCCGCTGTGCTCATGTGGGTACACACATACATGGTTTTGTGAACAGTTGTAATACCAGGGCTTTAAAAATGTGTTCAGGTGATTTTATTTTTGCTCTGGTTGAGGCCTCCTTCACATACTGCCTGAGGTGGCTTCACTGCCCACGGGACTCCCCAAGTTTGGTTTCAGTGGGTGAACGTGGGCGGCGTCCTCCGGGCCACCTGGGTGCTGGGCATGTCTGTGCCCAGGGCCTTCTCCTGGCCTCTCTGTCTGCCGTCACAGCACCACTCTTCCTGCCATCTTCAGCCTCTTTCTAAGAACTCTCTTCCTTTATTGTTCACATGTGCTCCAGTGTCTTCTGACATCATCCCCCATATCCATTGCAGCTGTGACTTTGTCACCTATGTGTGCCCACACATGTACATACAGTCCTGGAAGAATGCATCACACAGTCTGTCTCTCCAGGCTCATCACCCATGCACTCTTCAGCTCCCGGTTCTACCCCAGCCTCCCTACGGAAACTTTTATTCTGAAGTGCTGTTCGCTCTCTGGTTTTCTTTTGCAGTGAGGGACTTTCCGCCATTGTCTTTTCTTATCCCTATGTGATTTTTGACATTGGCAGCCATGCCTTCCTTCCTCAAGTCAGTCTTGATTTTGCTGTCACTCCTCTGGCTGATCACCCCTTTTCAGAGGTTCTCTCCTCAGTTGTCTTCTACTTAAGGGCTCTGTCTGTCCCTCCTGCTCCCTCTCACATCTTTTGTGATTTCAGTTGCCATGTCTCTGCTTGTGGCCCCGGATCTTGCCTGCAGCCTGTGTCTCCTCGGATACAGACCCATTCACCCACTTTTCATGACCTATCTCTGTCTTGCTGTCCCGTGGCCACCTCAGTCTCAGGATTCCTCCCACATCCCTCAGTCCTGGCCCTACTCCTGCTCTTTACCTCTTATACCCCATATTCGTACTCGATCACTAGCCACACACTTGCTGCAGCTGGAAACTTATACTTCTCTCCCATTCAGCTCCCATGTCTGGTTGGTGACTTGTTTAGTCTCTGAGTTGTGCTTTGCAACCCCAGGGACTGTAGCCCTCCAGGCTCCTCTGTCCATGGGATTCTGCAGGCAAGAATACTGGAGTGGGTAGCTGTTCCCTTCTTCAGGAGCTCTTCTCAACCCAGGGATTAAACCCAGGTCTCCCGCATTGCAGGCGGATTCTTTACCAGCTGAGCCACCAGGGGAGACTGGGGACTCCTGCTAAATCCAGATGACAGAAAGAGGTGTTTTTTAAAAGCCCTTAAGGTGGTGCTGGCAAACCTATCCTGATTGAAAGTCATCCTATCATTTCCATACATAGACTTGTGTGGTGGTTGGCTTGTTCAGAAAACCTGTACTGAAAACCAGCTCTATGACTGCTCTGTGTGCAAGGACCGTGAGTCCACATGCCCTGCCTGCTAACCGTATGTGTGCAGTGTGGGGGTTCGTACCTGCTGTACTATATGTATTGTGAGGTGCTCAGTTCTTCTTGAGGAGTTAGGGACAGCTATTAAGATAGTAATTTTTGTTTTTTAATAAACTGGTCTACTTTAAACCAGCATTTATTTTTCCCATCCATACAGGAAATAAAAATAGATAATACCTCATGTGGAAAAAAAGATAATACTGAGTGCAAAGCAGACAATGACATTTGCAAATAATCAAAAAGAATTGGTTGTTTTCTTAATTCAGAGTTTCAGATCTTTCTAAATTTTGATTCAGCAAGTCTGGAAATGTATTTTTAAACAAATTCCTTACACAATTATTATGTATCCAGCTTGAAACTACATTTGGAGGTATGAATATGAGATGCATGTTCAAAGAGGGGTGTTTTGAAATAGAATTTTGAGAAGTACACAGTCTTGGTATAATTGCCGTGACTGAAAGATGCCTCATTTGTCTCAGTTAACCATGAGGTGATTGTAGAAGAGATGGGCAGGAGGGTGGTTGACTGAGAAAATAGAGGTTGTAGTAATCACATTGAGGATTGTATTTGTACTGTCAGAGACAGCTGCCAGGTTCTGAAATCTTCCTCACTGTTTGCTTTGCACACAGAAATCCCAGTTTACTGTTTGATATAAGAGGAGGTACCAGCCTTTTGCTTTCGCTGGCTGTGAAAGAATAGTTTTTTGTTTGTTGTTTTTGTGATTAAAAACTCATACCATAAGTTTACCCTTTTAGCAGTTTTTAGGTGCCCATCACCCATGTTGTTGGCTGTACGCTTGTTGCTGTACCACAGGTCTTGTCATCTTGTGTGGCTGAAACGCCACCCCTCCTCCAGCCCCTGGCTGTCACCATCCTGCTTCCTCTTTTCTCAGACTTTGATCACTTTGGATGCTTCATAGAAAAGCAATCACACAGTGGTTCTTCTTGCGATGGGCTTATTCCTCGCAGCATAATGTCCTCAAGGTTCATCCTTCAGTGTTTAAAGGAACACATGGACTTCAGATTCCAGTTGTGTGGCAGGTTAGAACAGTCCATGGTTTCTTACTGCTGCGAAACAAGATTCTCAATAAGCACACATTTTAAATAAATTACTCGGTGGGGAGGAAGTAAGGAAAAGATACAGGCTGTCTGTTCCCCACCTCCTACAATAAGATCTCAACAAATGGCATAGCTTCTCTGAATGCACAGGCAAGTGTCAGCTGTGACTTTTGTATTCACGTATAAAATAGTCTCTAGGTAAATATATGAGGCAGAAATGACTAGGATTACAGAAAAAAGACTGATAATTCTATGTTCACAGATTACTTAAAATAGTAGTAAAGAAGTAGAAGATTTAGACTGCACAGTTAAGCTTAATTTAATAAGAAAAATATATAGAACCTTATGTCCAGCAATTAGAGAATTCACATTCTTCTAAGACTGCATGGAATACTTGTAATAAATGGACCATTGACTAGGCTGTAAAATTAAATCTTGACACGGTTTAAGAATTACTGCCTTATAGGCCATGTTCTTTGACCGTAATGCAATTAAATTATAGATTATTAATAAAAAGATTAAAATTCCTATAAATTTGGAGATTTATTTAAAGATTTCTAAATGATTCATGGGTCAAGATGAAATCATAATGGAAACTTAAAAATGAACAATAGGCAAAATCTACTTACCAAAACTTGCATAAAGCAGCAAAAACAGTACTGTAAAAAAATACTGTTTTAAATGTTTACATTAAAACAGAAGGTTGAAAATTAAAGTGCTAAGTGTCTCATCTATTTTAGAGTAAAACAGGATAAACACCAAAAAAAAAAAAAAAAAGGCAGAAAGGAAATAATACAAAAATAAAAGCAGAATGGAAATCAGTGGGACCATAAACAGGACCAAATAAAATCAAATGTTGGTTCCTTCGTAAGGCTAATCAACTAGTAAGATTGAATAAGAAAAATAACACAGATATACAAAAACCAGAGAGACAGAAGCAGATGTATATAAATAGTATTAGGAGAAAAGGGGAACAAAATACAGATGTAAAAGGACTTAAGCTAGACCATTGTAAACAATTATGGCAATAAATGTGTTCACTTAGAAGAAGTGGAACAGACTCCTGGAAAAATAGCATTTACCATTGTAAATTAAAGGAGAAATAGAGTCTAAGTAGGCCTGTAACAGCTAAATAAGTTAAATTAATTAATAAACAGTTTTCCACTGAGAATTCACTGAGACTAGCTGTTTCAACAGGCATATCTTATAATAATGAAAGCTCTCCCAGAGAACAGAAAAAGAAAATACTCCCCAGTTCCTTTTGTGAGGCTGTTAGATAGGTAATTTGGATATCCAAAGCAGAAAAGTTTAGTAAGCGGAATAAAAGTTACAGGCGTATCTGCGTCATGGATGTAGATGTAAAAGTCCTAAAGAAAGGTTAGCAAACTGAATATGACAATATCTATATTAGTTTTAGGAATATAAGAGTGGCTTAGCATTAGACAGTCTTTAAATGTAATTAATCTTAGTATCAAGGTAAAGGAGAAAAAGCCATATGAATATCTTAATAGATGGAGAAAGACTATTTAAAGTCAATTCTTGCTCCTGATTAAAAACAAAACATGTATCAGACAGAAGGAAAGTTCTGTAACTTGAGATGACACCAACAGTCATGTCACTGTGTTTTGTTAAAAAAAATTTTATTTAATTAATTTGTTTGGCTGTGCTGAGTCTTAGTTGTGGCATGTGGAATCTAGTTCCCTGGTCAGGGATCAAACCTAGGCACCCTTCATTGGGAGCTTGGAGTCTTAGCCTCTAGACCACAGGGGAGGCCCCACGTCACTGTTAATGATAACATGTTACAAACATTTTCTAAAACTTGAGGACAAGACAAGG